TCCTGTTCTGTTTCAACACCAGAGGACTCCACATTTTCGTCGCAACGGGACTCCCAAAGGTCGAGGTCTTCGGTAATCTCATTTGCCATTGAGTCGAGGGCGCTAAAATCTGTGCCATCTCCCCCTTCTCCCAACTGAGACGAATCAAACAAGTATAACAAACAATTTTAACTTCAACACGTCGAAGTTTTAATGCAGATTATGCAAGAAGAAGACGCCTTAATCTTCAAGTCATTCTCCTAAAACAAAATGAACGATGGTAAGTACATAAAAATACCATCTTCCTTTCCTGTTCAACTCATGGTCAGGCTAAATCTTGTTGGACCAGAAACATTTTCATACTTTTAAGTTTTAGAACTGTTGATGGTAAAATTTGGGTTGCGACCGCTATAAGCTATTCATTTTGACTGATTCTTTAGATCGGGAACTTGTCCAATTGTTGATGCTTTCGAAGGAGAAAATTGTGCGGAGGCCATTACATGCGACGGCCCCTGTACATCCTGCGGAAGCGTCCTACCAGCTCCGCTGCCTTCATCTGCAACGGCCTCCGCACTACTTTCTCCTCAGCCAAAAGCGTCACCAAGAACCCAAAAGGATGTCTTAAACACATCATTGTTTAGAAAACAAGTAGCAGAAAACATAGGATTTATATCCACAATCTTCAGCTTAGTGGATCATGTACAAGACTTAATGGATAGGGACTAGGCCTAGTGGCTTATCCTCTCTCCTTGATGAGCGAGCTGCTGGTCCAAAAGCCCAAATTCTAATCACTGGTTCTTTACCAGTAGTAAAACTCCATTGGTTCTATAACTACTGGTGGGGGACCATTCAAATAAGACCCCTCCATTCAATGAACAAAAGATTGAACACTTGATGGGCAACAAGAGGCACCCATGGTTCAAGCTCCAACAAGCCTGGATAAGATCCATGCATCTAAAGAAAATCTGAAAGTAAACTTATAATGTTACCAGGGATGGATCGAGAGGATGCTCGTAGGTGGTCGTATCCTCTAAAAATTTCTAATCCTCTAAAAACTTCTAATATAAGTTCTTAAATCCACACCCTTTAACATAAAATAACGTATCCGTCCCGAGGTGACTTCGATTAATACCAACTCACATTAGTAGGTCAAGACCATTACATACAACCATAAGTGAAAAAGGGTAGTGATTACTACATGATCATGTAATCATAAAGTCATTTGCCACCATAAGTGCATAACGTGAAGCACAAGATTACAAGACATAAATGGTTAAAAAAAACAACACCGAGATGAAGATAGAACTGACCTGGGAAGTGCCTGGAAAATGGACTCACAAGGGACCAGAAAAATGGGTTTTGCTTGGGATTGGGTGTAGATGTAGAAGAAAGAGAGAAAGTGGAGTGAAACAAAAGTGTAAACGAGAGGTGGTTGATAGAGAAAAAAGGAGTTGTCTTTGGCTGTTGATGAGCAGATAGGGATATGTTATGAGTGGAGGAAATTAGTGTTGGGGCTCAAAGTGCCGCCAAGGGGAAGCTTTGGCTATGCTTCAATTTTGTTAGATAATAATGTGCAGAGCTTATCTCATTCGTGTAGTAGAAAATACCTCACGTACAACGATATCTTTCTAGACTTCTATCTATTTTATATGATTGGTGTCATGAATCATTCGATACTTAGTCTAAAATAACATGATATATGCAATATCAATGGGAAAAAGAATTCTCCACGTAGGGCTATCACCATATTATTTGTTGAATTAGGTGGTGTTTGTTTTCACTGTTTAAAGTATTCAAAGCTCTTATGTCTGCGCCGCACAGACCACGCGTAGACATTGGGCTTCGCAGACCGTTTGTTTTTTAGAAGACAGAAACTCTTCTAACGTCTGCACGTGGTTTGCGCGGCGCAGACGTGGCCTTATGTCTGTAGACGTTTTCTAACCTCTTCAAAGAGGTTTTATATTTAATTTAATTTTATATTATATTATATTTGATTTTAATTTTAATATTAATTTTTTAAATAAATTAAATATTAATTTTTTAATATTATATTATAGATATTTAATTTTATATCATATAAATTATTTTATATATTATTAAAATTTTATATTTATTTTAATTATTTTGATTTAAGTTTAAATATAATATTTTTTTTTGGATTTGTTATTTTTAAATTATATTTAAACTTTTTATATGAAAGGTAAGTATTTAAACCACATTGCTTAATAAAAAATGATTTCATTGTTTGATAATTAAAATTTTAAAATATAAAAAAATTATAAATTATGTTTTTAAAATTTTAAAATATAATCACAATTAAATAAAAAATAATCATAAAATAATTTGATAAATTAAAAAATATTTTATAAAAATATCATATAATTATATAAAAATAAATTATGAATATATATTTAAAAAAATTAAAAGTATTACATAATTGCATATTTAATAATAGTTTAATGATAATTAATGTTTAAAAAAATAGAGGTGTATGATTCATTGATTAATAATAGTTTAATGATAATTAATGTTGTTGTGCCATATGATAATAATATTCAAATTTTAATATTATTATATAACTTTAGACAATTTAATGTTTAGAAAATCATATAATTTAATGATCATTTATAAATTTTATTCTATAAAACTAATAATACATGTGATTATGTGAGACTTATAATAGAATTAATAAAGTGGTGTTTGTTTTTCTAAAAAAAATTATTATTGTAGTTGTATGAATTATTTAAATTTCAGTATTGTAAAACTAAAATTATTTAAATCTCAGTATTGCAAAACTCTTTTAAGTTTAAAAAATCAATTTATTTATATTTCAGTTTATTTTACCAGTTTGCATACGTTAAAAACAAACATGCTTCTTCTTGTAGACTGCAGACTTTTGGTCTACCTCTTCTGCTGCAGATGTGGTCCGCAGACTGCAGACCTTTTACCTCTGCAAAAATAAACGTCACCTTAGGGTCATTATTACAGTGTAAGGAGAGAACATCATAAACATCATGCGACTTTAAATTTTTTAGTGGAAGTCGTATGAATTATCACGTGTCTTTAGTTTTTTCCAACAACATCCATAGAAATATAGAACAAAATAAAATAGTCGATGATGGGGAAGACACACTGTGATCCATACATTTTTCCTAAAAAAAATTAATGTCGTGAAGTATTCTCAGCGTTTTCCTCGTCACACTATAATAATAATTTCAGTCATATCGATAATTTACATAAGATTATTATCTTATTTAACAATTACATGATCTCAAATGCGATACTATAGATAAAAGACAATATATCTCACACAATATAAGAAAAAAATAAGGTTCAATCTCGTAATTCAACTTCGTGTATAATACAAAGTTCATTAATTTTTTTGTGAGTTAATTATATCATACATCTCCAATCTATAACCCTTATTTTAAATTAGTCTCTAAACTGTTAAACATTCAATTTCATCCTTACACTATGACTATCATTTTAAATTAGTTCTCAAACTTTTGAACATTTCATTTTCATCCACAAACTATAATCTTTATTCTAAATTGGTCCCAAAACTTTTTGAATATTTCAATTCTATCCTAAATTACACGTATATATTAATCACATCTCTTGTTAATAAAATCATTAGGCCAAGTTATATCATTATATGTTTGAAAAAAAATAAAATTTAGGTTAAACTATGGTTGAAATGAATTACATATTTGGATGAATTTGGGCATGAAATTGGAAAATCTAAAAGTTTAGGGACCAATTTAGAATGAGATTTATAGTTTGACGATGAAATTAGAATGTTTAAAAGTTTAAGGACTAATTAAAATAAAAATCATAGTTTGAGGATGAAATCATAATGTTTAAAAGTTTAATAACTAATTTGAAATGAAGGTCATAATTTGAAGACAAATGATAAAATTAACTCATTTTTCGTTCAAATTATAACATTATGTCATTCACTTGACCTTATCCGTAATACTAGAGAAATTATTAAATGGTCCCGGTTTACCACGTCATCCGTGGTCTCAACCAATAGTATTTGTTCATATAATTTTTTTCTAATATGAATCTTCACATCTTTCCTATGTGTAAAAAAAAAGTGGGTGGTTATTTTAAAATTTGTTGCTATCATTCATTGGACCATGAATGACATGGTGAGTCGAGGTAATACTAAACGCTCAAGAGCACACACCATATTGAATTAGTTATACAGGGATAAACCGAAAAGGGTAAACTATGCAAATGATCATTAATATTTGAGTAAAATTTTGTTTTCTCCACTAAAATTTCAAAATTAATAAATTGGTCACTAAATCATCAAATAGTTCCTTATGATTATTCTATTATTTCTCTTCGTCATCTATTAACCAAGAAAAATGGACCATAGAAATTTGATGAAGTATTTCATACAGATGAAGACGAGAATTCAAGGGTGGGAAAGTTCGGGAGTTTTTCAATCGAGAGATATATTTTATTTCCATGTTTTCATAGCTTTTATTTTGTCTGAGCATTCTTGATTCTTAATAGGCGGTGTGGAGTAAGGAGATGAAGAAACCGCTTAGGGGACGTATATCACAAAATAATATCAACTAATTTGTTATTTTAAAAACTTAATTAATATTCAGTGATTATATCTTAATTAAATAAAAATAAAAGTGATCAAATATTATGTTTTTTGAATTTAGTAAGGAAAGATAAAAAACATAAATGAAACTGACCAATCATATAATTAGTCCTGAAACAAAATGATAATTGAGATACTTTATCGACAACTAATTGATTTAGTTAGACTATATACTATATTTTTTAAGTAAGATCAAATGTTTGAATGCGATTGTAAATACAATAAATTAGGTTGATAGAGTAAATTGTGGTTATAAAAAAAATTATTGATTTGTCATTTGGGAAGCTTACAAAGAAATTTCATGCAAGATTCCTTGCTTTGCATTATATAGAAGTGTGCGCCATTTTGCATTCATTCGGCATTATATTCAGTTATTTTCTTCAAGTTTTCAACTTTGCCGTCTTCTCGAACTTTCTCAACTTCCCCCAATTCATCTCCCAATTCGCAAAATTCATCGATCTTTGTTCCTTAATTCGTCTCCCGATTCCCTTTGTTTTCACCACTCTCTTCAAAATTCCATCCATCGCTATATTTGGTTGTCGATCTCATCTTCCGATTTATACATTCTCTTCAATTAGGGTTCTTGAATTCTGATCTGAATTCGTTATCATTTGATCGGTAAAACCCTGCGTCGGTTCCTACCCAACTCATTTCATACCGAAACAAGAAATACCCGGTTCTTGAATTTTTGAAAGATAGAAGATCCACGCTTCAAAAAATCTCGCTTACCCTTTTTCTAAAAACCCTCCTTGGTTTTAATCCCCAATTCAACCCAGAAGAGTTGTGAGAATTCATCGATTACCCGTTTCGTTGTCAACCCAGATTAATCTTTTCACACGTGATGGGCACAATTAGTTTTCACAAAGAAGTTTCAAAACCCTCAACATCTTCTTCTCCTGCTTCTTCTTCAACCTCCTCGACGTCTCAAACTGAGACGGTGAACGGGTCCCATGAATTCATGATCAACGGATACTCCCTTGTCAAAGGCATGGGAGTGGGAAAATATATAGCTTCAGATACTTTTATTGTGGGGGGCTATGAATGGGCCATTTATTTTTACCCGGATGGAAAGAGCGCTGAAGATAATGCTTCCTACATTTCGCTTTTTATTGCTTTGGTGAGTGAAGGGGCGGATGTAAGAGCGCTTTTTGAGTTGACGCTTTTGGATCAGAGTGGGAAAGATCGTCACAAGGTGCATAGCCATTTTGGGAGGATGCTTGAGAGCGGTCCTTATACCCTCAAGTACCGTGGGAGCATGTGGTGAGTTTTGTGGTTTTCTTTTCGTTGTAGAAAACTATTATTATAGCTTTTTTTCTTGGATTAGTTTCTGCTTTGATAGTTAGAATTGAGACTGGAAATTTTGAGGTAGATAACCATTGTTAAAGTTTCAATTGAGATTAAGTTGCTGAACCAATCAAAGGTTTATACACAAACTGTTATTTTATATCTTTGTTATGATGATCAATTGTTGTAGGTCGGTAATTTAGATTAATGCATTTTTGGCATTTTGTGTGAAAGCACCATTAAATGGCTGGCCGTTCTTGTGTTGCAGGGGTTATAAACGCTTTTTCAAAAGAACTCTTCTAGAGACATCAGACTACCTTAAAGACGATTGCCTCTCATTTCGCTGTTGTGTTGGTGTAGTTAAGTCGCATATGGAGGGACCTAAAATCTATTCTATTTCGGTGCCACCTTCTGATCTTGGTATGCATTTTGGGAGGCTATTAGAAAGTGGAAAAGGAACTGATGTGAAATTTGAAGTTGATGGGGAAATATTTGCTGCCCACAAGTTGGTCCTTGCAGTACGTTCACCTGTATTCAGGGCACAACTTTTTGGTCCATTGAAGGATCAGAACACGCAGTGCATTACAGTAGAAGATATGGAAGCTCCTATTTTCAAGGTTCTCCTTCTCTCTTGATCTGATTTTATTTCATAATTTCCCTTTGATACCCTTTATTCGTCTTTTGAGCAAGCCCATAATATTGCTGAAAACTAGATTAGCTTTTAAGATGCATAGGATATTATCCATGCTGAAGCTCCGAATTGTTGTATTCTTTATTTATGTAGATTTGTTTTTCTATTTTCAGTGTTTGGAATTAAGAATGCTGCTTAGGTCACTGTTCTCTTTCCATAGCTGTATAATATAAATTTAAATTTGAATGAAATGAAGGATATGATTAATATCAGCACCTAAGAAGCAACAAAAAATGAGGACTTTTGCAAGTTCTTTTTCTTCTTTTGTTAGGACGGTTTGCTGAATTTCGTTAAGTATTCTCTAGTTATTAGAAAACTTACATATAGATGGTATGGTGAAGGCTCATACGAGTGCTACTTGATTTTCAGTTTCCATTACTAGAGTTCTTAAGTTCCCATTGAGTTGTATGCACAACTTAGCTTCAGAATCGTCACTCTATCTAGTGCAAGCTGGATTGTAATAGTTATCGAGAAAGAGAAGATTATTTTCACCGGGGTAAAGGGTTTAATGTGAATTTCTCTAGAGAAACGGTTTGACCGCATTTCAATTCTTGATTCGAGGATAGTGACTTCGTGTGAAATTTAGCTTTCTGTTGCCATCATAAACCCCAGAGTTTGTTGAATGTTTAAATTATTTTATTATTAGAAGCACAGATTGTTGTGATTAGGAGCAGAACATGATGATTGTTCCTACTTTTCTCAAGCAGTTGTGTCTTAGGAACCTATAATGTGTTCATCATGAGCATGTTTTTGGATGGTATAGCGAGAGGAAGAGGTAGGTCTGTTGGTTTTTTTTGTTAGTTGAGTAATTGTGGTGCCATACAGGATTGCTTATACAGGAGTGTACATCGGGATTCCTCTCCTAAGGCGCTGCTCCTGTACATTATTCTTCCTAACCTCGGTTAAGGTTTACTGTCTTCTTTTGCTTCCTTTCTAATTGTCTCTTCTTTTTGCACTACCTTTTGAGCTAATGGAACAATATCAAGTGTAATTTTAGCTGACATGGAATTCATAATCATAAGATGTTTTGACAAAATTTCTGAGCTGTCTGCAGCAGTGCTTTTGCTAGATGCATTGAGGATCTAGCTTTTGGATGAGTAAATCCAGTTGTTTACTTGTGACATCAGGCATTGAATGTCTCAAGTGTTAGATATTTCCTTTGTGTTAATATCTCTTTTAATTTCTAAATGTTGCTTAATATGAATGGTAGTGGATAAACTGCAATGAAACTTATCTTGGTAACTATGAAACTTTATACAGATGACATCATGGCTTCATTTTACTTCGGTGAACATGGAGTTGGAATGTGGAAGTTGATAGCAGGTCCATGCTATGAGATTCTTGGTCCTGCTTTGCTCTTTCCTTGCCATGAGCCAATATTTTAACTCTTCTTTTCTTTTCACCCTGATTAAACAAATTAACTTACATCTCTGTTGTTTAAATCTGCCTAGAATAACTAAAACTTGTGGAGTATTGAGAGGATTCCCAAGGTGACTCGGTAAGTGATCTTGTATATATAACTTCTTGTTACCATGGTTGGATGTTTGCAGGCATTGCTCCATTTCATTTACTGGGATACCTTACCGGATTTGGAAGAGCTAGTGGGTTCAACTTCAAAATGGGCTTCAACGCTTGTGGCTCAGCATCTTCTTTCTGCTGCTGACCGTTATGCTCTTGAGAGAATGAGAATTCTCTGTGAGGCTAAACTTTGTGAGGGTGTTGCAATAAACACAGTTGCAACTACATTAGCCTTAGCAGAACAGCACAACTGTTTGCATCTGAAAGCCGTATGCTTAAAATTTGTTGCATTGCCACAAAATTTAAAAGGTGGGGACTGTAAAAATCAATTCTATTTTAGATTCACTAATAATATGCTTAGAGAATGTCTAAATTTATTGTCTTCCTACTTTTCCAGTCCTCTCTTTTCATCCTTCACTTTTCAATCAACATATGCATGATAAGAATTGATTGTCACTCCTAGAATTTATCTCTAAAAGAGCAACACTTAATTTGTTTTTATGTTTTCAAAGAGATTGGTAGGAATGACCAAATTTGTTGCATTGGTTTCAGCTGTGATGCAAACAGACGGATTCGAGTATCTGAAGGAAAGCTGCCCTGGTGTTCTTACTGAATTGCTGCAATATGTTGCAAGAATCGGGGAACATTCTGTTATTGCATGTGGATATCGAAGAAAAGAAGCACCGTTAGATGGTTCTGATGCAAATGGACGGCGGGTCAAACCAAGACTACAGTGATTTAGGGAATAACATGTAAATCATCCTTTGATTGGTAGGAAAACTAATAAGAGAGAGCTAGGTAGCTTTAGATTTTTGCTTGTACTAACATTGGTGAGTATTTGCAAAGTTGCATGTTTTTCTCTCTTTTTGATAAAAAGAGGCCTCATTAAAAACTCTTCATAACTGGCAAACTACAAAACTGTAAAACTAAAAAAGTGGCTTAATGGACATTGGGAGGAAAAGTGTGCCTAAAATATTATTAATTAAATACCAACAACAATACAAGAACAGTACAACACAACCAGCCAGAAAACACCTCTACGCAACACTAACCAACAACATAGCCTAAACAACCTTAGACACTTCCTAACTTAGCCAATTCATCAGTTTCATAATTTCTTTCACAATAATCTCAAACAAAGGAGTACAAGATCCAGGATTTCTAATCTACTCTACAGCTACTAAGGAATCGTACTCAACAATGAGTCTACTCTTTGTATCAGTTCCAGACTCCAAGAACAGCTCCAATCCTCTTTTGATAGCCAATAATTCAGCCAAATTTGGAGGACCTGGACCAATATTTTCAGAGAAAGATCCCAGCACCACACCATTTTCGTCCCTTAACAGCCCGCCAATACCCCTTTTTGCCAATGACAATCCATTGCCCCATCCCCTTTCTGCAAAGTTTTATGTTGAAGGCTGATTTGTTTCTCATACAAAGATGTGTATTGAGTTTGTTAATGATCTAAATGCCACAATTCATCCTTTTATACAGATTCAGATGTGAAGATTAGCTCAGAATCTAAAGATCAAACAACCCACATGATGATTGACATAAAGCCAAATGAGACTGAACATAATAATTTTTAACATATTTCCCTCAAGGATATGTTCAACTTTACAAATTGCTTATTGCAATTGCATGTCCATCTAGGAATGTGACAATATCAACAAGAAGCCAAAATTGACAAAGAAGCAGAACATGTTTCATTTCTAAGACCACATCATAAATCATTACAACAGAAGCATCATATAGAAATAGCTGCAAGCTGAGTTGGAGGAAAAAGGTGTTAATAAAGAATAACATAAGTAAAAGCTAACTTCATAAATTAAGAGTCCACTTGGCCTTCTCAAGTCTGTAAGTTTACATAACTTGTCATTGACACGGACCATAAAACCATTAGGTAAAGGATAGGCTCAGTTCAATCTCTTCCAAATTAGTGCTATAAATTACAATTATAGCTTAGTGTGTGTAGTTCGTCTTTCGTAACCAGCTCTGCTGGGAGCATGTATAACATCGCCTCACCAGATGACCCCTAGTGGTAGGAAGAGTGATACAGGATTAAACCATCGCAGGCGTTTTTGTTGGCCATTGGCAGTTGATATTAGGTCAATACCACTGACTCCTGGATCCACCTTGGGCAGCAGCAACTTTCCTAGCCATGTACTGAGGTTTTGGCTGCAATTCGGTTGATCCTTCAACTACTTCATCTTCTCCCCTATCGTTTTTACAGACTGGATTTCTCCGTGGATATGCGTATTGAGTTGGAGCTATAGGATTTCGAACCATTCTTCGTTGTTCAAGAGCTTCACCTGCGGCTACTGCCCCACAATTGTTGTAACGCATTACTGATCCAACTACTTTCCCAGGTCTGGCAGCACCTGCTGTATTCATTACAATAAGTCACGAGGAGCATATGCACTGTTTGTGAGATGGAACAGTAAAGAGATGATGGCAGCTGATTCCAGCAAATTGTGGGATATTTGCTTTCCATCTGTTATTTTAATCCCTGTACTTGGAACTTCCATAACAAACAAAAGAAAGCCTAAAATGTGTAACATGTTAGGTTGTAAAAATCATATTTCTGTCGCAAACTCAAGTGGGTATCGATCGGTTCAAGGGAGAAGTGGGTGTCGTTTAACAAGATATATCCTTTCATTCTATGGAAAACATAAAAAGATTATGCACTTATAAAACACCAATGAATCAGCACTTGCCAGACAAAAAGAAAATCCACCATAAACATCATCGCTCGGACACAATTATATGTACACATGTAGAAGTAATAGTTCGTTCATATTACTTAGCTAAGTTACTGTGGGAAGCGTAGGGGGTGTTTCTGCCAGGGATTTAGATGAAATAAAGATAAGATGGCCTCTAAAATCAGAAGCAAGATAGTTATAACCATTTCTAGTCTCAGTGAGATATAAGTAGGGCAATAAATATTGAGGAAGAGATATGAACCAATATAAAAAAATGCGACAATGAATTTGGGGAACGACAGGCCAATTTATATCCATCGAGAAAAACATACATACCTTGGATGCTTTGAGGAACTTGAAGGGGAAGCCTTGACATAGGGATTGCAAAGCTTCTTTCTGCTTGGGGTTTCTCAGTCTCCTTGATGGAGCATTTAGATAAGTTATCCATCATATCTGTAGAGTTTTGTACTGAATTATCTGAATATAATACACATGGCCTGCACACATTTTCAATCACTTATCAGTGTAAAAATACAGAATAGAAAATGTATATTAGGATATTCCTATGACAATTACAATGTCATGGGAATTGTAGTTTTGGACAGATTGGTTTTGATGGGTGCTCATTTCACTTCTAGGTAGCATTAAGGGCTTTGTACTTCCCCTTTTTAACAAAATTATCTTGCCTTTCAAAAAACTATTGGTGAAAGTATGTAACTTTTAGCACCAGTGTAGTCAAAGCATGCGCCTACACACCTGCACCTTAGCATTATACAAAAAAAAACCTCAACCTTTTCAGGCGTAGCCTATTTGAGCAGCAATTTTTAGTAAGGCAATGGGCATAAAAAAACCCACCTAATCTGTTATTATACACTTTTTGTTTCCATTCGGTATACCTTTGCTAGTAAGAAAGGGATAATATTAAACCTTATATTTCTCAATATATGAGCATTCAACAACAAACATTGAGCAAGGAAATCATGCATGTTGACCAATAAAAAATTGATATGTTTCGTTGATAAACTGGACCGGACTTTAGAGTTTTACTTTAAATCTTTAGCTTTATATACACACATTTACAGAAATTCAAACATATGTACACTTGAGCTTGCGCTAATTTTGTGCCTTGAACCTGAGACAATATCAGGGTTCTAGTGAGTAGTGACTAGAGTGCCCTTGACAACACTGTTTAGCACCTAGAATGCAACTAGTGATATCGAAAGCAGCATGCAAATTAATTGATAACCGTACCTTGGTAAAGATGCATGTTGTCTCTCAAGTGGAGCTGCAGTGGTCCCATTTCCATAGTGCTCCTCAAGGAAATCAAACTGCTTCTTGAAATGGTCAACTGCACTGCATTCAGAAACACACATACAAGTGACAGCCTATTCAATTAGGAGATTCAGAATTGTAAAATGATAATATTCAGGACAAGATGCATTAAATCAACACAGAAAAGTTCCGCTATCGGTTAAATTTAATTTCTACTTCCAAGCACAGCGTAGGTTCATGAAAACATTTGTAAAAGTGGGAATTTCAAAGGGAGGAATGCATTGATTCCAGGATAAGGCCGACATACTTGCAGCTTCTTCCAAACGTGTGGAGTCAACTATCATCAATGGAGGTTTTGTATTCATTTCCTGTATATAATAGCTATATTCTATTTGAAAGGAAAATTTCATCAAACTATCATGGTCAAGCACCAAGATAACCCCGGATTCTTCCATTTCATGCATATAATGGCTAAAGTTCTCTTCTAAAGAATACCAATATCAAGCAACAGGAATCTCTTCACATTGACACGGGAAAGACTGCCTTTATAGCACAACAAATAAGTCAAGGCTGGTTGGGAAAATATCGAGTATAGAACCATAAAAAGAATAATGGTGTCATAAAATGGCATATATAGTTAAAGATGCAAGAAAAATAGTTAGTTTAGAATGATACCTAGGATACATGAAGCCAGTTGTCTCTGATCCTTCCAAATACTCTTTCAACATTTTAGGATGGTACTCGAGAATTTCACGGTATATGAGCTCCCTAATATCTTCCTTTGTAATCCTACGCCTCTCAAACTCAAATTCCATCTTGGTAACAGGTTGAGCAGAAGGTTCCCTTTCAACTTTGGCCAAGCCCTTAAAATATAGATCAGCTAGGGCCTGCCAGCAAGGAACAAAGTATCCATGTTAGAAGTAAACCATACATTAAAAAGAAAGAAGTAGACGAAAATTAATAAACATGTACCTCTTCGGCAGTAGGTCGATCCTTGGGTTCAAAGGCGAGCATTCTTTCTAACAAACAAACTGCAAGAGGATCTGCATTAGGGAACTTCTGGGAGAGTGGAATGGGCTTTTTCTTTCGCATGCTGCTCAAGTACCTCCGAGCTTTCTCATTACGTATCTGCTCAGAGTCAGAAAATATCCATATCTTAGAAAAGAACAACTGATGTTAAATAGCCCTGGCTTAAAATAGAACAGTGTAAAAATGAAAATGGATGCCAACATACCCTAGAAATGGCTTCAGCAGATGGTGTTCCCAAAAGATCAGTCAACAGATCCAATTGATGGACAACATTTTTTCCAGGAAACAAAGGTTTCCCTGTTAAAAGTTCAGCAAAGATGCACCCAATGCTCCATATATCTATTGCTGGGGTATACTGAAATAGAACGAAAAAGACTAAATGTGAATATATGCATAAAAGTTTTACGAGCGCATTTAGAGAGGTCAACTAAAGTCATCAAACAAAGTTTAAATAGAATTAAAACAATGGCTTGGACATCCAAAAAATGGGAGAGAGAAAAGTAGAGAGAGAGAGAAAAGTTGAAAGGGAAAATAGGTTCAGGCGAGGTCTGGAAGGCTTTTGTCGATAATCTAAGTAGGAGAGTTTCTCGGCGTGAGCTTAGAGATATTTTTTCGTCTCAGGGAACTGTTGAGAGAGTTTTCATCCCGAAAGAAACTAAAAACCCAAAATATAGATTTTCCACTTTCGCTTTTGTTCAGTTTGAGAGGGAATCTGGTTTGAGGAGAGCAATTGATATGTTAAATGATTCACTGATAGATAGGAGAAGGATTTCAGTTGGTGTTGCAAAATACAATGAAGTTCGTCCAAGGAACGTGGCCAAGAATAGTCCAGTTCAGTTGGGTCCAGTTTCGTTTACAGCAGGTCCTTCAAAGTTGAAAGAGGCTGATTTTTCCAGTAGGAGTGTTAGGGATGACAGATCGTACAAAGAGGCTTTACTGACTGAGGATATGAGGAACAATACTTTGGGGTATAGGGAGACACATTCTGTTGGGAATCAAAGGGAGAAAGCATTGAAGAATGTTATGGAAATGCATATTCCCTCTGAGAATCGGAACTGGGTCAAAAGATCTTTAACAGGGATTTTTAAGCTCTCTTTAGATATTAAGTCAGTTCAGGAGTTCTTCATTACTAATGGTTACGAAGTTCAGATTGTTGGTTGGGGTTATGTCCGTAATTCCTATGTTATCATTTTCAAATCTCTCGAAGAGATGATGGAGGCATGGAGAAAGAAGAGAGATGTAATAAACTTTTGTTTTGATAGATTAGCACCTTTACTGAATGAAGAAGGTGTTCCAATGGCTTATTGTCAGCTTGAGTTAAGTGGGGTTCCTCTGTTATGTTGGGATGAATCCTTCTTGGAACGAGCTGCTGGGAGATGGGGAAGTATGGTAGAAATCCATGAGTCCACTAAGAACAGGGAGGATCTCTCGT